GTGAATAGCTCCTCGATGTTCATGTTACCCTGATACTTTTTCAAAAATTTCGAATTTTTCAATTGCGGTGAATACCTACCTAAAGAAAAAATTGGCATTATTTAAAAAAAAAAATGAATGACGGCGGGATCGAACCCGGGCCGTCGGCGTGGTAGACAAGCACGTTACCGCTAGGACAACGAGCTTATTTAAAAATATAAATTCATTAGTGGTATATATTCAATACATTGAATAATTTTTTCCATTGAAATTCCACAAGTTGTGGTTTCCCCCTTCCGTACGTGCTACAGTCGGCTAAATTTCAGTTAAACAAATGAAAAACAAAGAATAGCTCGAAAATGTATACTCAACCGATTGAGAATCCCCGAAAACGTCGAAATTTTCTGACCCCCGGCAATCTTTTTTCCAGCGATTTCTTTTTTGTTAACAAGTTCACAAATAATCATAATATGTCACACAATCATTCCTAAATTTTAGAAAAAAATTAAAATTGAGTGACTTTTTGAATGAGCGCCGACGCCAATTGATTGTTTCAAAAATTTATTTAATTATACAATTCATATACAATTAAATGTATTGCTTCTGCGCATTGTGCAATTATTATATTTAAAGAAAAAATCTTGAACAATAGACTAAACTATTTGTTTATCGTTTATCTTATATATTATATTAATAGGTACAATAAAGAATGAAAGGGAATATATGTGCGAGTGTTCATGGATATTCTTAATCTACTACTAAATTCCGATATTTCACATTATTCACTCAAAACCATCCAATTTTTTAATGTCATTATGCAGAATTCATTGGATCATTGGATTTTACAATTTTTCATCAGTACAAAATATACTTTTCAATTTGTAATTCAACACTTATATTTCATGTTGTCGAACATCGTATTTGGATTCAGTGCATACCGATAAAATCAACAGTAAAATAATGAAATAACAAATAGAAGGTGAGAAGATTTCATTTGGAGAAGATTTCATGAATCTTCGAATCTCCAAACACCTAGAAGAAAACGCCAGGAAATTTTTTTCTCAAAAATTAATCTCGCCTAAAAAAAATATCTCGATGCATTTTGTTGACGACATAATTATGATAAATGAAAGGTAAACTTCTTCAGTATATCTACATTAACTCTTAAATTTAGGAGAAATTATGAAATGTTAGTTTTTACAAGTAATCCCCGTGCAAATACGTATGAAATTTCAATTTCTACCAACTCAAGCTAAAAAACAGTTTTTTCAATAAATGCATGAATTAACGAAAATATTTTTTTCTTTATGTCAAATGGTGTTAGCGCGTCAATGAATTAGTAAAGATTTAAGTTATAAAATGTCAATACAAACAGAGAAAATTGAATAAAAATGTATTGATTAGTTTTGTCCTATGGTTATTCCACAGAATTATTTTTATTTTGCATAAAATTAATCAATTTTCTCAATTAATTCACGAAATTGAGATACTCGTGAAATCCTTCTAACCAAAAAATAATTACTGTAATGTAGTATCTGATATACTCTGACTCCAAGTTGCATGGAAGGGAATCTTCAGTATTTCCACTCTGGTTTTCGGTAGTGCAGTAAGTAACAGTTTTTGAAGCTGAGGAACAGGGAGAACCTCAACTTGTGGATTTGTTAAGTTTGATTGTTTCTCTTCTTTTTGTGCCTCATGTTCTTCTTCAACATCTTCAATGAACTTCAAACATGGAACCGGTTTGAGCACTGGAATAGAATCTCCCGACACTTGCTTATTCATCTGATTGCACTGATCAACAAAGAGATCAGTAACTCTCAATAATTCTAGCGTAACTCCCCATACGAAGTGCGTGAGATTATCAGTCAACTCAGTGACTCCTCCTAGAACCATATTATTTGAAGTGGCCGACTGCGAAATATACGTAGGAATAATCAGTAGCCTCTTAATATTTTTACAATTAGCCAGACACTTATCAAAACCATTTTTCACATCAAAATTCACCAATTCAAGCTGATGTAGTTTCTGTAATTTGGAGACGCCTTCCAAAATATCGAAAGTACAGCAGGATCCCTGCCCCTTTTCCAATCTCAATTTCTCCAAGTTAATCAGCTTCAAAAGTACATCAGTCCCAAACTTTTCAGGAAAATCCGAGCACTCTCCAAGTTCCAGAGTCTCCAGGCTAGTTAAAGCCCCTAGAACATTAATTTTTTTTTTTCCAAGCTCCTTGACTGACGTGAGATTAAGATGTGTTAGCTGTTTAAGCTCCTCCAAAGGTGAAAGATCTTCTTGAATTGACATTCCACTGATTGCTTTAAGTCTCAATTCCTTCAGATGCTTGGAATTACCTAGAGACTCAATATTAAGTGAATCGCATTTAACAGCCATTGCACTAAGTACCTCTAATTGAGGACAACACTTGAATATCTCTTCCACAACAGCCGCTGGACATCGGCACAGTTCTAAAATCATCAGACTTGGAACTTTCGGTAGGATGGAGATAAATTTGTTCCAAGTGCTATCAGACACGCCTGCTGTTAACGTCTTCCTCAAATCCAAATGCTGGGTTCCATGACGCTTCAAACATGCTCCCAAACCATCCCAATCTGCTACCTGACTATTCTTCATTCTCACTGTCTTCCAAAGTACTGGATGTGCTGCCAAGTCTCTCCACATCCTGCAGACTCTTCCAGCGCGGAGAAGCTCCTGAACCGTAAGGTATTGAAAAGTGCGCCATAATGCGTGATATCCTGCACATACTGATACCATGAAATTTTGCTTGGAGTCCACCTCCATTGGAGGAATTTTTTTTCTGAAAAATAAAAATTTGAAAGAAAAATTTTATATATTATTTTCCAATTTTAACGGCGTGCTCTCAGAGGAATGAACATTTTTTAATCTACAGCAGGAACATTTGAACATTAAAATTAAATCAACCCAGAATTAATTGAAATTAAGTTGAAGTTGAGAGAATTTATCTCTGCCAATTGGAAGTTATCGACGATTAAAAAGTGTTCACATTCCTTTAACCATGCATTACTCCCCCTTTTTCAGGACTTTTTTTTTCTCTTGTTCATTATGATGGAACATTTACTAGGAATTGTCTTATGAGAGATGGAGAGGAGGAAAGTGGAAAGAGAGGATCTTGAGGTGGGAAACGCATAGATTTAATTGTGTTTATGATCTTTTTTTTTTCTTTAATGAAAAAAAATCTCTTTTTTTTCTATTCTGGCTCGAACATGCCTTTATATCTGTAAATATAGAAAAGTAAAATTAAATTAGATTCTCCTGAAAGATAATAGATACTCAGGATTTCCATTCTAGTTGAAATGGATTAAGGCCCAATTGCATCAACTGTAGTAACTTGCATTAACAAAATTTTTGGAGACCGACCAATTAGCCCATCAAATTAATAATAAATCAATCTGGTGCTGAGATTAAAATAGTTGATAAAGTTTGATGCAACCAGCCCCTAAATAAAATTATATATATCTCTCTTGATTCATATGTGCATTATTCGAAAGTTGAGCCAGGGTCCAATTACTTATTTATCAATATAACCCAATGCAAATTTAAAATGAGAAAGAAGTAAATTGAGGATAGAATATATTATTTAAGAACATAGTATAGACTAATGATTGGCATATATGATCAAGTTTTTCATCGAGCTTCACTTGTCCCGGAGAATAATCAATCAAATCAAATCAATCAACTTTCCATCATATATGCACGCATTTTCTTAACCACCTGATAAATAGAATTTTAATTAGCCATCGAGGCAAAAGTATAGTTTTTTAATACACCTGCACACTAAATTCACGTAGAAGATTGCTCCCAAAATCGGAAAAGCAGGAGTTTCCGCCCGAGGGCCTTTCCCGCGCTCATCCGGGAGCAACGTGCAAATTTTCCGTGCAGATGTGTTGAAATATACTATTTTCCATCAAGAGAAATAATTTCGGAGCCCTCCCTTTAACTTTAACCAAATATTTCGCTTAAAAATCAATGAAAAATTTTATACAACATATATGCACTTACATAGTGCTGCTGACACATGTTCCGTTTAAATTGTCAATCTCTTCTTTTCTCTGATTCTCAGGAGACGGACGTGCAGCATCCATGAACTCGTGAATTTTTTCATTACTTTCCACTGTCACCCCTCTCCCTTCAGCAATATCACTTTCCATTTCAATTTCATTAGTTCCAACAAAAACAGACTCAATTGCTGGTACATGTGAACTGTCAACTGACTCAATCTCCAAATGTTTATCCAGTTCAATGGCCTCTATATCCATGTGTACTTCCATCGTTTGCACAGCAGGTTCAATTCCACTACTAGTTTTCACTTGATTATAATGAATTATTTCCTCTTTGCTGGGTAAATTATTTAAAGACATTTCTACCTCAAGTCCCTCAGCATCTTTTAGATTTATTTCGTTCTCCTTATCTTGAATACGTCTCACATCCAATTGAGAGATTCTTTGAGTACTACTTGAGTTCTCTGTGCATGAATTTGTATGAACCAAAGAGTTTCCTCGAATGAAATCTCTCTGAGTTTCGAACGATCGATTGGGTCTGATCGGGATCGCTGGTTGCACAGCCATATCATTATTTTTAGGAACAACAATGTAACGTTTTTCTCCCATTTTGACAATATTTTGGGCAGGTTTAAGCTTGAATCGATCATGACTATGAAGAAAATCTTTTCCGGGGGTACTAAACCAAGGACTCAGTGAAGTGTTAATTTTGTCGATTACTGGAGAAACTTCTGATGATATTGATATGGAGGTTTTGTGTTTCAAGGATCCTTCAACATCTGATTTTGATGATTGTTGAGGCTTTAAAGGGAGGAGCTTCGATCTTACGTTGTGAGAGCCTAACATGCTTATTGGTATTAACGCAGGTGGCATTATCAGTGATGATTGCTGGGGGCGTTCATTTGGTTCAAGCTCCATTTGACAATTCTGAAGTGGAATGAAGTGATTTTATTCAGAATATTTTCATATGATTTAGATGAGGTATGGAAGGGTAAAATGGTATGAGTTAAGTTAAAATACTTTGATCATCTGAAGATTTTATATTGAAAATAGTTGTGAACCAAATTCAAAGAAGATCAATCATCATTTGATAATTACACAAATAGCCCTTTTCACCTCAACCATTTTACCACCTCTTCAACAGCACTTGATAAATTTTCTTTATGAATAATACCTTGCAGATGTATTCCTCTTTGGATGAGACAGTTTTACCACCCATACACTCCGGATGATATAAACAAAGACAAATACGACACTGGAGACTTGGTATGAGACCCATGCTCATTGAACATCGAATACTGCAGGGCTCCTGGACTTTAGCTCTGCTGGACATGCGTTAGCCAGGGAATGGAGAAGGATAACAAAAGTAAAAACAATTGACTTTTCTTTCCTTTAACAGAGGACGGGACGGGCTTGAAATGGAGGTGAGGAATTGATCAATTTAGGAAAGTCAAAATTTTCCATATCCAAATGGGTAGATGTTTGACAAATTATTTTCTTTGAACGAATGTTCCTAAATAGGAATCAAATAGTTTAATTCAGTAGGTATACTACTCACTTCAATATCCTTTTATTTTTAGAAGATGTCACTTTTTCAACAACTGCTTGATTCCTTCTTGCTGCATTGAGAGGATTCCATTGGGCAGGCCGCAATTCTGTTTCGTTCGGTCCTTTTACTTCCTCTATAATTTTAATTAAATTATTAAAATTTTATAATGGCTAGTAAACCAAATAATATATATCTAAGCCAAATATGGAAGCAATTGAAGGAACCCTTACTCTTTTGAGTCCCTCGTTTCCCAAGAACTTTAATCTTGAGCCCTGTAGAAGTCGTTGTCTTGGAAGATGAACCTTTAACAATTTTAGATGGAGATGGAGGTGGTGGCGGTGGGGGTGGCGGTGGTGGTGGCGGTGGCGGTGGCGGTGGCGGTGGTGGTGTTGTTGCTTTCTTAGCCGAAGACGAACGTTTAGTCGGGTTTTTTCCTGCAAGAATGACATGACCACCTGTCGACTCTGATCGAAGTCTCTTGGCGTCCCTGATAACTTCTAAAGAGGGATCGTCAACACCAATTGGTTCTTTATAGAACGTAAAGTTGTCCAATGTCAGTTCCTTGGTTGTTAGACATTCTGCAACTTCGCGGAGGCTTTTAACTTTCTTCCCCTTAGGAGAGTAATAATAAATGTCTGCTGATCGTTTTGGAGTAGTGTCAAATCCACCCTTGTAAATCATTTCACGTTTCCAACCAAATTTAAAAGGTTCTTTATACAGGGAATTCGACATATCAATGTTTCGACTGTCACTCAGTACTCCCTCACTCTCCACATTGTTTGGAAAATGAGAAGGATTTATCTCTATTGTTACATCTCTCTCGGAATCTTTTTCATTTTTATCATTAAGCTTTTCTTCAGAAATTATCGATATACTTTTATTGTAATCAGTGATAGATTTCTCGACACCTTCTGTAGCTAATTTCAACTCAACAATCTTTTGAACTCCTTTCGAAGGCGCACGTCGCCGTTTTATAGCATTGTACACCTCCTCCTCCTCCTCCTCCTTCTCTTCCGCCTCTGCTTCAACTGTCATACAGGAATGATCAAATTTTAAAAATTGGTTATGCACATAAATATGTTTTATCAATAAGATCAATGACTTCTTAAGGGCACGCAATAATAAGTTAAGAAAAAAACGTTGTGAACTAAACATTTTCATTGAGATGAAATTCAATAAAAGGAACAAACATTTTTTTTTCGTGAAATTTTTCATAGTTCTCCTCGTTTCAACATTACTTATCACAGTTCAATATAATTCTCATGATTTGATGCTTTTACCGTACCCTGTCATTGGCGCATCAACATGTTCTTCACCATAACCAACATAAATATCTTTAACCTGAATTACCAAACTCTCACCTATAAGCTTATGAAGAATTTGCAATTCTGTCTCGATGATGATTGTACTTTCGGATGAAAAACCAAAAAAATCTCTAGATTCATCCTCATAAATGCCATCAGGCTCTAAAAGAATCCGCTTGACACCCTTGGCCTTAGGCTTGGCGTCTGTTTCAATACTGCTTGTTGAATTTGACTTGGATTTACGCATTCTTCTTTTCAGAAATGCTTCAGGTTTCTTCTCAACACTCTTCTCCTCACCATTAATTTCATCGTCATCCATTTTCACAATACTTTATAGTTTTTCACGTTCAGAATTGCTCTCTATCGTCAACTCTGTGCCCACCTAGACCACTATAAATTTTAGGTTAGATTCTACACGCGCCAGTTGGATTAGCAGGCCAGTCATCACACCACCTCAGGACTATAGCACGTCTACCTATGTACTAGCCAGAGATTATAGTGGAGATTATGCAGCGCTGATGACACGACGACGTGTATTCAACATAAATTATTTATCAAATGAATTAGCCCTCTGGTGGATGTTTCAGTGATTTTTCAAGATGATTTTCAATGATTAGCTGATTATTCTCAGTTATTTGTCTTGGAGACTTTGACCTAAGCGGTGGAAAGTAGAATAGAATTCAATCGCATTCCAATATGGTTCTGCTTGGACGGGTTATGAAAATCGAGGTACGACACATCTTCACTTTTTATGCCAATATACATTTGTTTTTTCTGGCCACGCGTAAACTCAAAATTAAAAAATTATCTCACTTTTTTAGTAATTAAAAAATTAATCAATTGAAATGATCTTTTAAATATATAATTTGAATTATGACGAACAATTAAAGCTTAATGACCATATCTGCCTTCTTGTTTGTTTTCTCATTTTTAGATGCTTTTGCAGAGATCTTATGCCAGCGCAGTTCCCACTGTAAAAATGTATTTAAATGGCCAGTTTATAGAATCCAACGCAACAGAGTACACTGATGTCCATGATCCAGCCACGAATCAATTAATTGCTCGCACTCCAAAGTCAACGAAAGAGGAAATGGAAGAAGCAGTGGCTAGTGCTAAAAAGGCTTACGAGAAATGGCAGCATACTAGCGTTATTACAAGGCAGACATTGATGTTGAAGTATCAGGCACTTATCCGCGAACATTTTAAAGAAATAGCTTCAAATTTAGTGAAAGAAAATGGAAAAACCATGTCCGATGCTGAGGGAGACGTTCTACGTGGACTGCAGGTAGTTGATGCCTGTATAGCAATTCCGACTCTTCAGATGGGTGAATCAACTCCGAACGTGGCGACAGACATGGATATTATATCTTACCGGATTCCCTTGGGTATCACTGCGTCAATTGCACCGTTCAACTTTCCAGCTATGATACCGCTTTGGTCATTCCCCATATCTGTTGCGTGTGGAAATACAACAATTTTAAAACCTTCTGAGAGAGTTCCAGGTGCCTCTATGATCTTGGCTGAGTTGTTCACCAAAGCCGGAGCCCCGCCAGGTCTTCTCAATGTTATCCACGGACAACATGAGGCTGTGGATTTCATCTGTGAACATCCAAATATCAAGGCGGTATCTTTCGTTGGGTCTGATGCAGCTGGGAGGCACATTTATGAGAAGGCATCAGCTAATGGAAAGCGTGTCCAATGTAATATGGCTGCTAAAAATCACTGCGTAGTAATGCCGGATGCTAATAAAAACAAAACAATCTCTCAAATTGTTGGGGCAGCGTTTGGGGCTGCCGGTCAACGCTGTATGGCTCTCTCAGTGGCAGTCTTCGTTGGAAAATCCAAGCAATGGATTCCGGAAATCGTCGAGGCTGCCAAAAAACTCAAGGTGAATGCTGGACACATCATAGATGCTGATCTAGGTCCGGTGATTTCGCCACAATCCAAACGGAGAATTCTCGAACTTGTTGAGTCTGGAATTCGTGAAGGTGCCAAAATAGATCTTGATGGACGCGGAATTATTGTACCCGGCTATGAAAATGGAAATTTCGTTGGACCCACTCTATTATCTGGAGTTCAGGTTAATTACTCGTTTTTATAAAAAAATCTATTCGGATTTGAGAATTGATTCCAATTGTATGTGAACAAATTTCATAATTCTTCCATAAGTCATTCGATAATTCCACACCATATACAATAATTAGAGATTAATTTCTCATGTGATTTATACGGTTTAGGCTCACATGAAATGTTACACTGAGGAGATATTTGGCCCTGTCCTACTATGCATGTTTGTTGAAACTTTGGATGATGCTATCAACCTTATAAACAAAAATCCTTACGGTAATGGAACTGCCATATTCACAACGAATGGAGCAACAGCAAGGAGCTACGTTCATAAAATTGAAGCAGGTCAAGTAGGCATCAACGTACCTATACCAGTTCCTCTGCCAATGTTTAGCTTTACAGGAAACAAAGGCTCATTCCTCGGAGATAACCACTTTTATGGAAAATACGTAAGAAATTCAGAATCCTTTTTAAAATCTTTAGATCAATTTGGTCGCTACTCAGTTTTTTCATTTGTTTTTAAACCTTCGTGTTGGTACTACAAACGAATTTTCGTGAAATTGCCTCTACAACTTGTCCATAATTTGCTTGATTTTTTATTTCAGGGAATTAACTTCCATACACAGACAAAGACTGTTACCCAATTGTGGAGAGCTCTCGATGCCACAGACATCGCATCATCAACAACAATGCCAACAATGCTATGAAAATAAAGATAAAATCGTTTTATACTATTTTCAACTATTTTCAAATAAATGTGTGGAAAGCAATATAAAGATTATAGGTGTGATAATGACCAATCGACTTCCACAATGTTGTAAATAAACAAATAATTAAAAATGTATACAGTAATGTAAATTATTCAATAATGCCAAATTTTTTAATAATTGGACCACTAATCAACACAGTTGGGGAACTTTTTCGGTCAAAAAGCTGGAAGTTCGAAACTGCGTCGGAGCCTTTGTGTTACTGTAAATTCACTCACATGTCTCTGCCGTTGACTCCAATATGAATTTTATGAAGAGAACCAATTGTTGTGGTATAAATAATCTTTAATAAAAAAATTTACAAATTTTCAGAGAGTTTTCGGGTTTTAAGAAACTCGATTTATTGCGCGGCGCGATATGGGTGAAATTGATTTTCCATGATCTTACTATAAGATATCACTAGACCTTCTGTTTAACATTTTTCGTATCGGGTTTTTTTTTTTTTTTTTTTTCCATAATTATTAACACGTATTAGAACTATCATAACAATGTCAGTAATCACATTTTTCCCGTATTCTCAAAACCATTAATAAAAAAAAAACCTAATAATATAATGGGTATACAGAATTAAAGAGGAACTGAAAATGTGAAATTTTTCCCGGAGTCGCCGTAAGGCGTCGAACAACATGGGAAGACTTCATCTACTCCATTGTAAGAAGAAGATCATCTCCCTCAATCTTTGTTCCTTGAGCAACATCGAGACACTTGATTTTCCCTGCTTTTGGCGCCTGTACTACCATTTCCATTTTCATGGCTGAAATAACAACAAGAGCAGTACCCTTCTCTACCGAGTCTCCAGGTTTCACCCTAATATCAATAACGGTGCCTGGCATTGGTGCTCCAACTTGATTTTTATTAGATTTGTCTGCTTTTGGATGTACATGCAGCTCTTTAACTGCTTCTTTATCCTTAATGAACACTGATCTTAGCTGCCCATTCATCTCAAAGAAAACTTCCCTTTCTCCATTAGGAGTAAGATCTTCTGCCATTGCCAGAGTCTTAATTCCCAGTGTTTTTCCTTTTTCAATAGTAATATCAAACTCCTCTCCCACTTTAGGGCCGGTGAGGAATATTCTGGTTTCTAATTTATCAACAGGTCCAAACTGTTCTCTGAAGGACAAATAATTATCAGTTACCTCAGGATAAAGTGCAGCAGACATGACATCCTTCTCACTAATTGTCGGATGAGTCTCCCGTAATTTCTTCTCCAATTTTCCAAAATCCAAAGGTGCAAGGCTTTTTCCAGGTCTGCCTTTAACCCTCGGCATATCCTTAAGCACATTGGATCTTAATGGTTCAGGAAATCCCCCATGTGGCTCACCTATTGCTCCTTGAAGAAATTCCACTACTGATTTGGGAAAGGATAATTCCTCTGATTTGTCAAGCACATCCTTTGAAGTCAATTTGTTCTGCACCATAAACTGGGCAAAATCTCCGACAACTTTTGAACTTGGAGTCACCTTAATAATATCACCAAGGAGAATATTTGCTTCGCGATAGGCTTTTTTAACGTCCTCGAAAAATTCGCCAAGTCCGAGGGAGTAAGCCTGAAATTGCAGGTTGGTGTATTGGCCACCGGGTATTTCATTGATATAAACATCTGCATTCCCTGATTTCATAGTAGTAGTACATTCAAAGGGGGCATAGAGAGTTCGTGTCTGTTCCCAGTAAGCAGAATATGCGGAAACATCTCGAAGTTGAATTTTTGTATCGTTATCTGTATCCTGAAGAGAGGCTACAACTGATCCCATTGACGGTTGACTGGTCATCCCTGACATACTATCTACCGCTACATCGACAATATCTGCTCCCGCTCGAGCACACTCCAACATAGCTGCGACTCCAGCACCTGCTGTGTCGTGTGTGTGAATGTGAATGGGAATGTCCGGGTGACGTTGGCGAATGGCATCAATTAAGAGTGATGCTGCTTTTGGTTTTAGGAGGCCTGCCATATCTTTTATAGAAAGTACGTGAGTTCCTGCTTTAACAAGCTCATCTGCAAGATTTATATAGTATTTCAAATCATATTTGGTGCGCAAGGGGTCGGACACATCGCCTGTATAGGAGATAGCGGCTTCGACGACTCCCCCGGCTTTTCCAGCTGCCTCCATACCTGTTTTTCCAGTGATAAATTAATAATCAATCATTTTGGACCGTTGAACAATTTTTTAAATGTAACATATCTTCATCGTTTTTCTTAATTATTCATTATTAATTATCATTAATTGGAAAAAAAAACTTACCTAAGATTAAATTAGGAAGATAATTGAGTGAATCAAACACCCTGAAAATGTCCATTCCGCATTGCACCGAGAGATCACAAAATTTGTACACAACATTATCGGGATAATTAGTGTAGCCCACAGCATTAGCACCCCTCAGAAGCATCTGGAATGGAATATTAGGAATTGCTTTTCTCATATCAATCAATCTTTCCCAAGGGCATTCATGTAGGAACCTCAGGGCAACGTCGAAAGTGGCACCTCCCCAATTTTCAAGTGCATAAAGATTGGAAAATTTGTGAGCAACGTAAGGTGAAATATTGAGGAGATCATGGGAGCGAACTCGAGTGGCGAGAAGTGACTGATGAGCATCTCTAAAAGTTGTGTCCATGAGGAGGAGTCCTTTATGCTGGCGAACCGCTTTGGCAAAACCCTCTGGGCCCCTTTCTAATAAAATTTGTTTGAGACCTGGCGGTGGCTGTAACCGATCTACAACAGTGTAACGTAATGTTAAAATAAAAAAAAAAATGCTCAGAATTTGATAATGATTATAGATGAGTTGAGAAGATTAAGAATAAAAATTCATAATTTACCAGTAGGTATTTCTGGAATATGCGGTTTGATCTCCGCCGGTTTTAATTGGGTCGCAAGCGGTGTACTCGGTCCATTAACCAAGACAGTGCCCAAATAATTTAAAAGTTTCTGCGCCCGATTCTGACTGGGGAAAAACTTGAATAACTGAGGATTCTCATCAATAAAATAAGTATCTACATTTCCATTTAAGAATTTTTGATTTTCCAATACATTCAGTAAAAATGGAATATTGGTTTTAACCCCTCTGACCCTGAATTCTCTCAGAGCCCGATTCATTTTTGCACAGGACGACTGAAGATCGGCGGCATGAGCAATAACTTTCACTAATAATGAATCATAATAAGGTGAAATGATTGCACCAGCAAAAGCAGAAGCACTATCCAACCGAATCCCCATTCCTTCACCGGATCTGAACACTTCAATTCTTCCAGTATCGGGCTGGAAGTTTCTCGCTGGATCCTCAGTAGTCACCCTACATTGAATCGCATAGCCTTGAGGAGAAATTTTTTCTTGGGTCATGCCTAGCTCAGGAAGAGTCATTCCTTCTGCAATTCTAATCTGCGATTGAACTAAATCAATTCCTGTGATCTCCTCAGTAACTGTATGTTCCACTTGCAACCGTGCATTCACTTCAATGAAATAGAAATTGCCATTCTCATCGACCAAAAATTCAACAGTTCCCGCATTCGAATATCCCACGTGCCGTGCCAATTTCACAGCATATTCAGTCATTTTTTCCCTAGTTTTGGAGTCCAATCGAGGCGCTGGAGCGATTTCCACAACTTTCTGGTGTCTTCGTTGAACAGAGCAGTCTCTTTCGTAAAGATGTATGACATTTCCTGCATTATCTCCCAAAAGCTGAACCTCAATGTGCCTTGGTCGTTCGATGAATTTCTCGATAAACATCGCACCATTACCAAAAGCTGCTTGAGCTTCTGAAGATGCTCGCTCAAACATCTCTTTAACTTCTTCCATTTGTCTAACTACACGCATTCCCCTGCCACCACCTCCGTAAGCTGCTTTAAATATAACGGGAAGACCGTGTTTTTGACAGAAAGACATTGCTTCATCTGAAGTTGTTACAGGGCCGTCTGTTCCAGGAACAATTGGAACCCCTGCTGCAATGGCTGCCATTCTAGCTGCCACTTTGTCTCCCATTTGTTGGACGACATGGGGACTGGGACCGATGAATCGGATTCCAGCATCGACAACTGCTTTCGCAAAGTCAGATCTTTCGGAAAGAAAACCATAGCCAGGGTGAATAGCATCCACACCATTTTCTTTCGCAACTTGTATAATCTCTGGAAAATTTAGGTAGGCTTGAACAGGTGGAAGGCCTCGACCTACTAAATAACCCTCATCTGCTTTTTGTCGGTGCATTTGCATTTTGTCTTGTTCAGAGTAAATTGCCACTGAACGAATTCCGAGTTCTGTGCACGCTCGAAAAACTCTTATAGCAATCTCACCTCGGTTAGCAACTAAAACGCTACGAATAGGTTTGTATTGAACATCAGTGCCGAAGTTATAGCTGAGCGTTCTGAGAACTGAACGCTGGCAGCCTAGTGCCCACCGAGCTCTATGTGCTGAGTAGTACATTTTAATGATTCTGTAATTTTGACTGAATATGAAGTAACTCAGTAAGATGTCATCAGAGTCAGCTAACTTTTTTTTTTCATCAAATGATTTTGGCCGGTTTTGTTGTCACAGTTGTGACAGTCGCAATTAGCAGGCTCTTTTCTCAACTGGATTTTTCTGGAACAAGCACCAATAGAGACAGATAATTCAAGGCTTGTCTATGATTTTCACGAGAATGATAAAAAAAAAAGTCGCGGAGTTATAGTGAGCTAAACTCGCAAATCGGTATTTGGGTCTCGTGATAGTGATGAACTGATCTCAAATTCTCGTCATGTAGCTTTAGATGGGAAAATTCGATTGGTAAATAGAGATTTGAGAAAGGAAAACCATATGAATGTGCACCCAAAGAAAATGAGGAGAGCTTACAGAATGTTTTACAAGAGTGACATTTAAAAAGGCTAATAAACAAACGGCTGACTAGATTCAAACAGACAACTCCAATGCTGACAACACGCAGCCCAATCGGATGATATTTCATATGAAGCTGCAACACCAGGGGGTGTATTCCAGCTAGATCAACGCAACTGATGCTCATATTGCCAGCGGCAACAAGGGGCCTTCAGTTTTCGCCTTCAGGCCAGGCGTTTTCAAGTGTGAACAGCAGATGTTGGAGAAGTTGGAAACTCAACTATTCCCTTCAACTATCTTTCACCAATTCCAAAATTTCCCTCATGCTCCCTTTGCTTCATTCCTTCAAAAATACAATCTTATCTCCAGATTCCATCTATATCAGATCCGGGGGGTAAACCACTATGCTCAATCGATGAAGTTCGACCGGCCCAAGTGCGGTGTTATAAAGTATTCATGTAAGATCCTTCCCCGTGTTACTTGGCTTTACCCGATGTTGATGTGGATGTAGCTTGATTTTCAGGACTGACAATTAAAATCCATTTACAGTTTGGCACGTAGTGAGCGCATTTTTAATAGTATGAACTTGTATATATATATATTTTTTTTTTTAATCAAGCATTTTCTAGAATTTTTATATAAGAAAATATTGAATCAATAGTTTAACTCACCTCTCTATACCAAAATTCCAAGTATGAGTTCATAAACCGCATTTTTTTTTTTTTTTTTTTCACTTACAATCGTTGAACTCATTATCTCAGTGATAATACAATTTAACCTAAGTAATTTTCTTTGACAATTCGGGAGGCGATAAATATTTCATGTCGAGCAGTAATTGCATGCTACCAGCAAGCTTGGGTAGCATTATCCAGTTCAATAATAGAATCATTATAATTAATAATACCATCAGCAATTTCGTTCAATCGTTGCGAATGCAGTAGTGAGTCATAGCTGTGACAATTCATAGCTGTTGTCTGCTTTTTTGCATGTTTCGATTCTACATGTTTCCAATCGATGGAAAATTTGCGTAAATGTAAATGTGAAGAATGGAAAGGATATAGTGTGGAGAGATATTGAAAAATATGTACTAATTGCCTCGTACTCGAATAATTCACGGACCATTCAAAAATTAAAAAAATGAAACAATATAAAAGGGAATCGCATTGCGTAATTTGAGCAAAACTTGGACTTTGATCAACTCTACGGTGAAATGTGATGATTCATGGAGAGAAGTCCATATTTGCTCAAAAAAGTGTTGTCCTTGTTTTATAAAAAAAATAAACGAATTTTTATTGCAATTGCCAATGTATTTGTATAATGTAGTTCCCTTTATCGATTGAGACATAAACCAACTAAAAAATCTATTAAATAACATAAGCGCTTTACGCTGCGATTTTTTTTAATAGTTAAACAAAGTGAACACTGACTTATTTTATTTTTATTTTTCAAAATTCAATGAAAAACTTGAACAAGAATTTCATGTTGCTCCATTCCCTCATTTCCTCGTATCTTCCCCACAGTGAAATTCTTCTTAATCATGCTTTCATTGCGAAGGCAAATCACTCAAATGAGAAGTGCTAAAATAATATTCCTTTTAGGTGGAGACATCACAGTAATAATCTCTGTTCTATGCTTTAGCATTATCCATAATGGAATAAATAAAATATTTCAAATTTGCAGACTGCATGTATGACGCATTTTACCGAATTATTATTATTTAATTATAAATTAATATAACAAACCTATTATAATATATATATACATTATAAGTTGAATAAAAATCAAAACGTTTGAAATAATTTTGCTGGCTTTTCTGTGCGAATTTGAATTGTCGGACAAGGAATTGATTTGGGAATTGTAAAAAATTGCTAGAACCATACAAGAATGGTAGTTGAGAAACATCTTGAAATAACCAATTTTATTATCAAATATATGGTGAAAAAAAAAAAAAAATGGAAAGTCAATCAGAAATATCACTACAACTGGTGATTATTTTTCTTCATTCTAGATCGCATGTAATTGTAATAAGTAGGTTATGACCTTGGTAATAAAGGAAATTATATAATTTTCTTGCTTTCATTCAAATTTGCCAGATAAACAAATGTCGAAGTAAATTTTCATTATAACTATGACATACAGTTATATTCTTACAGTTTACCACCTTTAATTATTACGTGTAGATTCTGAATGTAAATAACTTGGTATATCAATGTATCAATGTAATTGTCACCAGATAATTCAAAGTTCGACAAATTCATTTTTCAACAGAAGGAATAAAACTTTGATGCAAAAAATAATATAATAACAGCATGATGGTAGAGTTTTTTATTCTAGTAATTTGAGAAGTTGTCCAATTTATTTGAATGGTATGTCAATGGCTGCAGGTATTTTGAATGGCGGGTGAGGAATAATAATTATTATATCATACTTACGCGGCCTTTCACCAGAGTGTGAAGTAGTCCAGAGACAGTCTGACTGAAGTCTAAACTGTATTAAATCCCTTCTGGTACATGCATTCGACCTCTACAGAAATAATGAAAAAATATATCAGTTGACTTGCGTATTACTCGGTGGTTACATACACGGTATGCACGGAAAAAAAATATACGTGAATCAAGTAGCCTAGTGTATTCAATTTTCAATGGAAATATCGATTAAATATTGATTTTTCCACCATTCTAGTATCTATTATGAATACATTACACGAATAGATAATATAAAGAAGCTTATCTTTAATGATAACACTCAGGCTTTAATAAATATATAATGACTGAAGAATTTCGAACGCTTCGGGGTTAAAAACGACCGGATACTGGATTGTCTATTGCATTGTAAATCCTCACCAGATCCGCAGTTTAAAAAATAGCTTTTGTTCACTACAACAATGCACAAAGTGAAGTACATTGTTAGCCAAAAGCTTCTAACATTTGGAAACACAGGTATTCATTGATATCAATTAGGGACCGGTTGGATTATCTGGAAAAGATAATTTACTCCAAAATTGGGATTCCTCCTAATTACTCTGGCAATTAATCGTTTTTTTTTTTTCAATAATTGTTAGCTAGCGTTCTAGTGGTTGTCAACGACTTGAACGCTAGCTAACAATTATCGGAAAAAACAATTAATTGGCGGAGAAATTAGGAATCCCAATTTTGGAGTAAATCATCTTTCCGAGATACTCCATTCGGCCCTTAATTTAAACATTATCAAAAATTTACTTTTGCTGATTTGCAATGATTTTTTTTGTCTCTCGGCCTAACCTAACTCGTTTCTGCCAGTCTTGGGCCTGGTCAGCACTCGGCTAGCTGGGCTTCGTGACCAGAAACAATGTATGTCGTATGGCCTGCAGAGTATTTTTTCGATGAATTTATTCATAATGTGCCGAAGGCCTGCTTATCTCATAAGTTACTATTATACTGTAAATAGTAGCGGTTGGGCCGAAATATTCTCTATTATCCTGTTCTCCTTCTTATTTCACAATAGCAGGTGTTAGATATAACACATTAACATCTCTATTGGAAGAAAGTTAATTATTATATATTCGAATTATGTGAAAATTAGCAGGGGATTGCGAATAGTGTGGAAAATTTTACGCAGCTATACATTGGTATGTTGAGTCTCTTTTAGAATCATTAACTGGACGTTTCTAATCAGCGGCATCATTTAGTACAAGGCATAAGATTTCATCCGTTAATGTATTGAAAATTATCCTCTTAAATTTAGCACTGTTTGCTTGATTAAATCGCTTTAATTTCAATTACTTCCAAAGGATTATCTGACAACGAATCCATTATGTTGAATTCTTCACAATGCATTCGAAGGTGTAATTCGAGGTAGGAATTGAGCATGGAAATATAGCTTTTGTTGTCAAATTCTTAATTTCTACAAGTAATTGGATGAATACGACTGTGGTTTCACAATATCCACTTGAAAATCCATTTAATATGGAATCCATTTAATGGTTTCTGATCAGGGACCAAATAACATGGAGTAAATTTGGACCATGGCTTATGAATATGACTAGCGCTCTTTTTGGCGCTCTTTTTTGAATCTGCCAAGTTATAATTCTGAAAATCATTTCGTAGGCGATATTTAATGCAATTACTCTTTGGGAGCATGCTTTGATGCTTCGATTTATAATTTGAGCACAGGAAATTAAAAAATGTCTGTAATTTGGTGTGCTGCTGCTGATTTCAGCTTGAAATTTATTCGCTTCAACGAATAATTTTTTCTGCTATAACTAATATTCATTTGGTTTTAATAATGCAAATATATTCACTTACCTGAGACTAGGACAATATGGATTTAGTTTAATCTATTGAAATCTCAAATTATCAATATTTACAGAAATAGTTCCGCTGTTTCTCCTGCAATTTACAATCACCGCGGAATTCTATTTCTCTATTTATCTATTTTGTTAATCATCATGTCTGAAAACACACTGCGAAACGGCGAAACTCATTGAAATTTTTGTTTTTATGGCTTTCACAAGATGAACCGATGGTATCTGGATGTTTGGTTGGCTCGATGTGGCACAGCCGAATTATTTATTCACATCAGCTATGCCGACATCTTGCCTGCTAGCCATCCAGTGTAGATAAATATCAGGTGTGCAGTTATAATATGAGCGCATTGGTTTTATCTAAATTCAAAACAACCCCAAATGCAAAGACTTGGTCGATGGATGTTGATTTATAAAATGTAAAGTCTGAACACGTTGAAATGTCTGAAAGCACTGGGGAGCGTGGAGGTCTGAATTGGTAAGATGTGCAGCACTGCTAGTGCTGCAGTGTGGGCCCTAAGCTATCTACCAAAAGGAGGGAGAACCCGACCATCTATGCTGCTCACAACGATTGGCTCGTATTCCCTACCTCTCCCGATTCACTATTATACATGGTGATGAAAATTCGGGTTTTCTTTATTGATTCTTGTATTAGATATCCTCGAAATATCATTGAATTATTCGACAGAATCCTGTATGAATCCACTTTTAATATTTTCCCTCATATTATTTCCTAATTTCATTATCTGAATATTCCGAAAAATTTCTCGCTATATAAGGATATATAATTTTATTCCATAGCAACAGAAAATCGTTTTGAAAACTAAAATTCCAAGTGCACATAATATTCCATTTTCCATGTGATATCAATGAAAAACGTATTGTTCGGCGAAGATGATTTTGCCAATAAATTATAATGAAATATTATTATTGACGGATCATTCAGATCAGATGTCACATTAGAAATAGTATTTTAGAATATACTAGGATAAAGTATAAAATATACTCGATTGAATTAGATACTGTTTTCCATGCAAGGGGTTTTAATATGGTAGTATAAAATCCCATCGAAATGATTTGATTATTGATTGAATCGATCTATTATATATTATATTATATATTTTCTTCGCATTTATAATGTAGATAACAAGAGTAATATAAAACTATGAAAACATTTTAAAGTTGGATTTGCTTTTACAATTCCACGTAATTGCTTATATATTGAAGTTTATACATTTTTAGCAATTTATTGAGAATTGAATATGAATGAAAAATATTGAACACTGTCAAGCTGGCATAATTATTTACCTGTGTGGAGAAAGGTGCATTCGGGTAGCACGCACACTTTTCGTGACTTCCGCTTGCGTCTTTCATCAAAGTCAACCGGATATGGCCGAGAAGTTAAAGAATCCCTTGTAAAAATTTATGGTATTGCATATAGTCAAATGATTTGTATTTTTTAACCTGATCTTATAGCTATCACTATGTATTATAGGATATAATATAATATTACTCTAACAATATGTGATTATTTTCATACGTGTCATTTCATTTCATATTTTATATATAAAATTATTAAATGGAAACATTTACAAAAATTTTTTTTCCATCAACTGTATTTCATATTATAAGGCATTGATGTTTTTTGCTTTTCTGGACATTGGCATTAAAGGTAATATTTACAGACATATTTATTATTAATTCCAAACACGTTTAACATCTGGGTTTCTGTGAATTGGCGAGCTGTGGTGGGCCTTATGATGTTTTATACGCCCATTATAATCATTTTATGAAAATACGCCTTATTATAAAAAACAAATAAAAAAACACACTACATTATTTATTACTACATTATTTAGTCAGATTGGATCAATCTATCAATGATTGACAGTGATGAAAATGATTATACATCTATCTACAAATCAAAATAAAAAATTATCTTTCGATAATCACAACATTCCCCCTTTCCTCAAAGTATTATTTTTTTCAATTTCCATAATCATTCTCCAAGAGCGTCTGCGCATTGTCAATAGGTGTGTCAGAAATTTCACTATGCATTTATCGTGTTTTCAAGAATGAAAAGGAACAGTGTAAATCATTAAAGTTTTCATCAACTAAATGTTTATTCAATTCAAAAATTAAAGAAGAACATAATAATAGCTGTACAGAATGTGTGTCAATATTTTTGCCTGAACAGACGCATTTATTTTGATATTTAATTCAGAAAATGATCAAATTTTATCAACTTGATTAAATTTTTTCAGTGGCTACAGAGTAGCCACTTTCAGAGAGGATTATGGTTAGACTGATTTTCTACAAATGTATGCGTAATCAATGGCCATACGCGATTCAATTCCATTACGCTCTATCATTCTATTTGAGAATTTGCCAAATTTATCTCAATAAAAAAATATGAATCGCACATGATGATTGATTTTATACGAGTTTTTTTGCTTCGAAGAAGCTCTTCAAGTGTCGCATTTGCCAGGTCCCCATGGCTAGGAGAATTACCGTCTGAGTAACTGACCACCATAATACTCGGCGATTTGTGCTCTCTGATGTTTGTCTGAACCGTTCTTCTCGATACTAACATGAAAAAGAAAAACATAAATATACAATACTTCGATGCGCGAGTTCCATCAATTGAATATAATCACCCTTTGATAATTCTGCTCTTTAGTAATTTGCTCAACTTGATCTAATAGCTGACGAATTCTCAATTGGAGTTTTGATAATTTCTCTTTTTGCGCCAAGTTTGCATAATCAATGGTGTGATCACCGACTTGAATATCTAAATGGACTCTCTGAAATTCGAAAGTAAAAAAAAGAATTATATAAATTCATATTTGAAAATAACCGGAAATGAACTTGTAAAAAAAAGCTTACCAATTGTGTGCCACTGAACCAAGCAGTGCTATTGGAGTACAGACAAATAACATGTTCTCCAGGAGTGTGCGAAGTGAAAGAAATTTTTCCTTCCGAGCTATAGACTCGGGATAAAATAGTTTTGTCATCTGGATCGCGAACTTCAACATGCATACCTATGCCAGGGCTGCTTGGCATGAACCCACCACTCCTGGGATCGAACAGTTCCACCTTGTAGTTGACTAACATACCAAAAATCATAATCATCCATCAACCGTTATTACTGTTATTAGAATTTACTCATCTGTTTGCCGGAGGATATAAAATCAACAGAATAATTACCTAAAACAGTAGTTTCATCTGGAATTTCTTCTATAAAACACTTTCGTTCGGTTTCTCCAATGTGAAAATACAATCCAGATGCGCACTGCACTACAACAAATATCAATAATCCCGTGTACTTAATCATTTTTCCTCTATTTAATAATTATCAAATTTTTAACTATTTTTAGATATTTATTATGGCGAATGAATATTGAACTGATGACAATGTGGTGGAAAATAGGTGGGCACAGGACACAGCAGAATTAAACCACCGGGGACACACGTCATCTATGGGAGTAAAGTAAAGCGAGAAGTGAGCAACGGTACTGTATTTGGTGCGGCCCTTGAGTGTGAAGTATGTGGCGAAACGTGGAACGTACAGGGGCATACCAACCCATTAACATTGTAATCAACAAAAAAAACTCATGTCTATTGCAACTGATTAAGATTATAACAATAAATCCTATAATGGATATTGCTGTGCTTGTGTCTATTGCTGTAGCTATTGTGACTTTAATTCTGTTGTTTCTCACTTTGGTTTCACGCAAAAAATTTGGTAGGTTCATTATCTCAAGACAATTAATTTATTCATGAAAAAATTCTTAATTTATTCCCTTTTTTTCATAACGCAAATCGATTTCAATTAGACAATAATTGTATTTAACCTACACAATCTTCCATTACATTATCTATTCCATCTTGTATTTTTTATGAAATTATATGTATTGTATATATATAATATATATAATGGCTCTCAGTGAAGAATGGAGTTGAGATCGAAGCAACAGTACGAGGACAAGCACGAGAACAGGGTGTACGTCGAGCAGCTGGTATACGCAATGCTAGACGGAGGATGCAGGCTCGATGGCGTCGAGAATCCGACCAAGAGGTGAATGATGCATCAGAGGAAGATGAAAACATGGTACCCATTGAGACAGTTGGATTTCCAGAAGGTAAATTGGGTGCTAAGAAGAGAGCAAAGCTTGAAGCCAAAGCTGAAAAAAAACAGCAGCGAGAGGCTCTGGAGAAAGAGAGGGAGGAGAGAAAGAAACGAGAGCAACAAGCTCAAGTGGAATCTGATAAGCTACGAGAAAAGGAGAAGTTGGAAGAACTGGCACGTGATGAGGTTGAGAAAAAAGTCAGGGCGGAGAGAGAAAGACTTGAACATGAAGAATATTTTAAAATGAAAGAAGCTTTTAAAATTGAAGAGGAGGGTTATGATGTTAGTGAGGAGGAGGACCATAAAAATCATCTCGAAAATTTCATTGATTATTTAAAATCTAATAAAGTTGTTATCTTGGAAGACCTTGCCGGGCATTTTAACATGAAGACCCAAAGTGTTATCGATAGAATTAGGCACCTACAGGACAATGGTCGACTTACTGGTGTTGTTGATGATCGGGGAAAGTTCATCTACATCTCCCAAGAGGAATTGGAAAGTGTTGCCAAGTTCATCAAGCAGCGGGGACGGGTTAGTATCACTGAACTTGCTGAAAACTCAAACGGACTCATTAATCTCAATTCAGAACAGAAAATATCTGCGGGTGCTACTTGATTGCAGCTGCCATTCTATTGAGTTCAACAGCTGATGATTTCAATTTATATTATATTAATCAATTTTTGTATTAATAAACGATTTGTACAAAGAATAATTCTCATGTTTAATGCAATCATTATTGTTCTCATTATGAATCGCCGGCCGCTCCGTAACTCAGATCCGTTCACCTTTTCCTGGAATTTTCATTATTGCGTGAATGGTGAATTTTTTTTGCAAATTTTTCAAGGGGAAAGTTTTTAAAAAATGAAAAAATCAAAAATCACGCCCCGAGGGCTAACTCATCCTCATTACGAATCGCCGGTCTCTCCGTAACTCCGATCCGTTCACTTTTTCCTGGAATTTCCATTATTGCGTGAATGGTGAATTTTTGAAAAAATTTTCCCAGCGCCATTTGCTCAAAAAATGAAAAATTTTCAAAAAAAATTCACCATTCACGCAATAATGAAAATTCCAGGAAAAGGTGAACGGATCTGAGTTACGGAGGCCCCCGCGATTCATAATAAGCGTGAGTT